TGCCCCTTTAGGAAAGCCCAGCGCCAGCACCGAGCACTAAGCACTACCTAGTACATCCGTGGTCGCCCTGGTTTCCAATGCCCGGTGCTCGGCGGCCTCTGCCTGCGCATCAGGGAGCAGAGAGCAAAGACCACGCAGCAGCAGCAGCAGCAGGAGGAGGAGGAGGAGGACAAGAGCCATGCGGAAGGGGATCTAGATGGTAGTGGTATACACGGACCCTCCTTGTGGTTTTCACAATGGTCGCGCTTTTACCATTCTGTTTGGGATATACGACTAGGAACTAGGATATCCTACAACTGGTAGGGGTATTATTGTACCAACATCGTCATGATATAGATAGGTGTTAGGGTATTATAACATCGGCATTAAAGTGCTGCTCCCCGGTAAAAGGGGCCAAGTATCTGCGGCGGTAGTTATGGTGATGCCGACCAGGTATCTTCTTTCCACCAAAACATTCCAGTGACGGCAGAGTAAGTTATTGCTCTGCCGCCCTTTCCTCTACCCTCTACCACGGCTGTGACGCCGTGTGCTATCTGTACTCGCAGCAATGCAATCACCACCTGCGTGGTTCAATTGATGACTGACGTTGTTTATAAGCTAGATATTTGACTTTGCGTCTAACGAATGGTAATGAACCTGCACCATTAGGATTATATATATTCCGGTAACCACTGTTGCTTATATAAGCATGCCTATATGTCTTGGTATGCAGATTAACCTCGAACATCATACAACAACCTCTGACCCCAGAATACCTGCCTCTGTATACGGAGTAATTCTCTCTCTGTACCGTTCTCTTATGTGATACCCCTACTATACCCTTACTTCTATATAGTGGTAAGAGAAATCGTAAGAGAGAGTTAGGGTATAGAGTGGCCCAGTCCCGACGATATACCACCTTTCTACGTGCTTTTATGAGTCTGTTTCTAAAGTAAATTTGGAGAGTATGGCACATATGGTCCGCGGCAAGGTTCTTAATTCAATATCTCGAGTCGACTACTGTTTTGGCCTCAAAGGCAATGCCTTCCCCCCCTCTTCCCCCCTCCTCCTTCTCCCCCTCCTCCTTCTCCCCCTCCTCTTCCTCCTTCTCCCCCTCCTCTTCCTCCTTCTCCCCCTCCTCTTCCTCCTTCTCCTCCTTCTTCTCCTCTTTCTTCTCCTTCTCCTTCTTCATTCTGCGCCTTTCGGCGCGCCTTGCGCGCATTTTTGCTTTCTGGTGTGGGCGGGGGCGACGGCGCGGGGGGCCAGCGGGACCAGGGTCGTCTGTTATTGCTGCTGCTGCTGCCACTAACTCTTGTAGCGCTGCTGCTGTTGCCTTATTTGCCTTGGCTTGTTCTCCTCCTGCTTTTGCCACTTCCATTAAAAAAATCTTTTTTAGAGACCATTTTAGATATTTTTCTATAGGCTTATTGGGTTAGATATGCGATCATACGTCTATAGGGGTTGTGAAAGAGCGTAGACGGGGTTATAGAGTATGTAGTACTTACTAGTGAAAATAGTTTTGGCTCTGAAGAAAGAGAAAGAGAAAGAGGGGGAGAAAGGAGAAACAAATTTAGAGGGGTAAAAAGCCACGGGAGCAACGCGAACTAGTTACGCTAAGGTAACTGTGTCTTGCTCTCTGCACCGAGACAGGACATAAAGCCTCTTATAACGCAACACCGTCTAGACACGAGCGAATGTAAAATGGTATCTGATAAGTGGTATACCTCTTGCGGTAGAAAGTAGAAGAGATGATAATTTACATTGTTAACAGGCAATCAAGCCACTACAATATAGTATAGAACAACATAGACCACACCCCCTGAATCTTCTCATCGTTGCCTAGAATTCCAGGGTTCCGTGTCTAGCAAGTAGCCATTTTTTCATCCCATTCGCTGTTTGTGAAGCGTGTTTCTCGGTATCATATAGATATGTAGAAAGCAGCACATCGTCGTCATCGACAAAGCTGCCTTTCATAAATCCCTCTTCTATAATACGATCAAGCTTTAAGAAGTAAAACTCCTTTTTGATAGCATCATGGTCTTGCCACCTAGCCAGAATCTGATCACACGTTTTTAGGCCCTCAGGGGTGAGAGGTTTTGAACGGGGTGTTTCTCCACGCAAGGTACGGAGCAATGTTTTTGGTTCCATCCCTCCGTGTTCATAAATGATGGACCGCTCCACCTTTTCAGCTATATCAATGATATCAACACGGTGAGGGTATCGTGTTTTCACTTCGCTCCGAAAATGACACAAGGCACACTGCACGTAATCCATGAGCCAATAAGCTACACGGCATTTTCTATCATCCGGCAGACCACGCGCAGCACGCGAGCGGAAAAGGTAGTCAAAGGCATACTTAATGCCACTAAAAACTTCCTCCATAGTAGTGTAGTATATTTAATAAGCCCACGCAAGGGGACGAGAGGGTATAGAAGAGGTATGTAGTGGCGAGTTGATAGACTAGACAGCCACTCATGTTAGATCTATTGCAGAAACCATTTCTTATTATCGCCCAAGTAGTTAATAGGTTGCATATTTGACACTGACCTTAAGTGAACAGCTATATAGTTGGTTAGCCACTGAGAGCGGAATTATGCTACCCACCAGCTAAAAAACGTGGAAGTATACCTCGCTGTCTACTACACATTATCCAAGAAGATGCATAAAATATCTTTTTATATATGGCCGTCTCGAGGTCAGAAGTGGCGTGTGGCTGCTTCTGCTTGCGCTGCGATTCTTGATTCTCGATGTATACATATGACGTTGATCTAGATGCCAAGACATCCCAAACCCTTGGGTTATATTATATAAGCAATTACTCTCGGAGGCTCGAGGGAACGTCACGTGACATGAGCTTCGGGCTGAGCACAATACAGTCAAAGACTATAAGGAGTGAGGAGCTCTATATAGTTATATAGATACAAGAAAAAGAAATCAAGATTTAGCCTCCTAAGGCTTACAGATTGGTAGCGGCCTAATATAGATTAGTTACTTATCAGACTTGATTTTAATCAAGTTTTTTTTATACAAAGCCTCTCTGGACAGCTCGTCCTTGAGCCACAGGCTGAAAAACACAAATTGGGCGCGCCGGACAATGATGTCTGTTACCGATGTACCTACAGACAACGGTAATCAATAAAGATATCGACGAAAACCATATTGTCCTCGTCGTGTGTGTTCTGGCTTTTACCAACAGCTTGTACTCCACGCTACGAACACCTTCCCCAACCCCTATCCCTTTGATACGCACAACGAGGAGAGAAGAAGAAAGGCTACGGCTTCTGGATCTCCGTGAACTGATGCTGAGGGTGGATCTTCATAGGACTGGAAAAGCAGTAGCTGCAGAGATCAAAGTCCGGGCAGCGAGAGCACTTGTAGCGGCTCCCATACACCTTCTACACGGCGTCAGCCTCGCAGTTCCAGGGCGTAACCCTTTGATACCGAGTATACGCTTACCTGGGCGCAGCTGTCACACTTGACTCCCACATGGCAAATAGGATTATCCTTTTTGAACCTGTGCTGGGGATGAGTCTTGTCTGCCGTTGCGTAGCAGTCCTCGCAGTAGTCGAATCCTGAGCACTCGCTGCACTTGTATAGCCGGCCGAATATTGTCTATCATTGTCAACTTGTTGGCTTTCTCTCTCTCTCTCTCTCTCTCGATTTGATAGACAACGTCAGCTTACCAAGTTGCAGCCATCACAAACACGATCTTGATACCATACGGCTTCCTCGTCGTAGTCGGCAATGTAGACCACCCACATTTCCTTACCCTTGATTGTCTCCTTGAGAATAAGGATGCGATGAAAGTCATCGACGTTCAAGCCGGTCTGCTTGTCGCCAACGTGAACTCCTTCGAGACGAGAATTCATCCAGTCAGTCGCCATGATACCCTGGAAAGTGTCCCGAAACGGAGAGCCAAAGGTTTTTGGCGAGTAGTACTGGCCCCCGAACTGGCAGACAGGATTGAACTTGGGATCGAAGCCCAGCTTGATATTGGTTGTCCGGCCCTTCTCGAGCTTGTACCGTATAACAACCGCAGTTCCACACTCTCCCTTTGGAATGGTGAAGACCATGTTTTGTCTCGTCCACTTGTTGTTCCAAGCAGTGACGTCGAAAGTGGCATCCAGAGACAAGCTGGGTCTGGGTATGCGACGGAGCCAGAAGCCGTACTCGCGTTCCACCGGCCGTAAAGACCCTCGGATCTGCTGTCTCACGTAGATGTGGCGGTACTGGCTCTGGCGGCTGGTTGCAAAGCGAGGGAGATCGACACCGTCAAGCATAACGCGGGCATACTGGTTCTTCTCCGGCAGGTCAGAGAGGAAGATGCCAACACGGCTGTTCTGCACTCCTTCGGTCTCGCAGTCCAGTGCGGCGAGGTATACGCCCATCGACCACTCGACCATGGGCAGCTCGATCGAGAGACCCATGTTGGTCAGCGAGTAGGGCTTGATGTTCCACTTACTGGCCGCCTGGACGAGATGGCCGCTCTCTGCAAAGGCTTCCGGAGATCTTGCAAACAGGCCGCGGTGGTTTGGGTCAGCGCTCTTCCAGGCGAAGAGGGAGTGGTCGTCCGACTGCTTCATGATCTCCTCCTGCAGACGCAGAAAGGCCCGCTCGCCTTCGCCGTACAGCATGGGCATATTGATGCCGAAGATTCCCAGCAGACTGTATGCCCGGTCCTCGACCTTGGCCGTGGTGCGGCGAGCAGCCCAGGACATGCGCTGCGCAACGGAGAAGGACTGCAGCTCCAGCTCGCCCGTGAGCACACCGGGATGGATGCCCGTCACCTCACATATCGCATCCTTCAGTTTGAGCTTGCTACCGAGCCTCTGCCATGTGCCGTTGAAGAACTCGACGGTGGCCGGTGCAAGCAGCTCCTGCAGCGTCCATCCACGAGTAAACCAGGCGCTGCGGTAGAAGCTCGACTGCTCGGCGACGAGTGTCTCGTCCACGTCAAACAGGTACGCATAGCAGATGTTGGCCCGTTGGTACCACTGGTACATGGAGTTGAGAGCCTCGGACAGCTCGGCGCTGCTGGTCTTGTCGATGCAGCAGGTATCGATCCAGACGTAGTCGAAGCCGTCACGCCGCGCCTGCGAGCAGCTGTCCGCCAGCTTCTTGTAGCCACGCATCGCCGTCGCCTGGCCGTCCCGCAGCTGCTGCAGCGAGACCTCCTCGTCCTGCCATCGGTGCGAGAGGATGGCGTAGTCGGGCAGCGCGCTGTCGTCGAAGAACTCCTCGACGCGGAGGGACCTGGTGTTGAGCAGACGCATGTTAGCAGCAGGCTCTGGATCTGAAAACTGCAGACGAATGGGACTCACCATGCGGCATCAGAAGCATCGCCTTGTATTTATCTCTTCCTACTCGTCGTGGCTCTTTGTGTGCGGGTGATGGCGGGCGTTGCTCGTATCCATCCTCGTTTCGCGGTCGACAGCCACGATAGTTAACGGGCTAACTACGACATCATACGAGCTCGAGGACGAGACTATACATTATTCAACAACGTATATATTTTATTATCAGGTAGTTACGGAAGAACTCATTCTCTGATCCTCCGTATACGAGTGCTAAATACCCTCGGGCTTCTGCGCCCAGATGAAGTTGCCAGCGACCCCCGTCTTGTACATGTCCATATCCTTCTCCAGCTCAGCGGCGAGCGACGGCCGGCGATCCTCGCTCAGCCCAATATCTTCCAGCCTGGACCGCATGTCAGCAGTGGATAGCTCAAGCAGATGGACAATGACTGGATGGACTTACTTGACGAGACTGCCAAAGGAGTGGAACAGGACGCGGCTGACCCGCCGGCCTCGCATCCCCTGCTCGCGATCGACATGGGCGCTGCCAGCCACCATCTCCAGGCACTCGCTCTGGATGTGCTCGCATCCAGCGTCTGCAAGGGCATCCATGATGTCCCGCTTGACATGGAGGTTGCGCACTTTCTGCTCTGCAAATTTGTAGAAGAGCAGGTAGGTCGTCGCCTGCGGGTCCGTCACCATGGTGTAGTGGTCATATTCGAAGAACTGGATCCACCCGCCTGGCTTGAGGCAGCCGACGAGACGCTTGACGATCTGGTTGATTTCCTGCCGCTGGAAGAAGGCGAACAGCAGGCGCTGGTTGATCAGGTCGAAGCTGTTCTCCCAGGCCGGCGGGAAGGGCTCCGTCACGCTGTGCGGCACCAGGGACACCGTTGGAGGCAGGCTCTCGCGCGCAGGGAACAGCTCAGTCCTTTCTCGGTTGACACCCATTATTAGTTATGATACCCATGATAAAGCCACCTGCACTCATACATCCACAGGGGCAGGAACAGGAACAGGAACAGGAGCATGGAGGGACCGGACATACGCAATATCGAAGCCAACATACTCGGTGTCGTCAGGCAGCACGAGACGGACATCGTGGATCCAGAAACCTGGCCAGATCTGTCAGATAATGATTTGTTGCCATGTTTGCATACAAGGAGTTTCCGACTTACCATCAGCAGTAGCCGAGTCGAGGACCTTCATTCCCTGGGCCGTTAGATCGAGGGGCGCCTTGATAAGGCCTCCAGCCGTGCCCTTGATCCATTCGTGCTGGACTCGCAGACGGTCTCTCTCAACGCTACCTCCGGGAATGACGTAGCGGGACTTGTCTTGTTCAAACTGGCGGTCTTGGTGGTCTCCCATGTTTGCAAGCCGGATGGCTACTCCGCTGAGTTGATGGCTGGTTTGAAAGGAGTTGGCTATACTGGCCGATATCTCTACAGGACGTACTCCGTACTCTCCTTTTATACCAGCCTCGACAGAGGCATGACTCAACCTGAATTCTTACCACCCTGCTATTCACTTCGGTCACTCCGTGTCGCTATACCTGGTTACCCCGACGAACTAGAAAACAAGCGAACCAAGCAGAGCACACGGTAGAAAGTGACTGGCTGCAGCCAAAGCCCGATCCTCCCCGGATTCCAGCATATTCATCCGGAGAAGGGTGGATGCAGGCAGCATCGTCGAGTCACCGCCCTTGGTTTGATGGCTATCCCCCAAGTAGACCGGTTTGGTAGCCTGATCCTGGCTCGAGCGTACACTGATAATAATAGCCATCTACGAAATCAGACGATACAGGAACTCTGGCTAGGCTGTGCAGTGTAACAGCCACATTTCCAACCGGACGATGAAACAAGAACATGTACGGCGCCTGGTGCGTGCGCTAACTAGTTAAGTTAACTGTTCGCATCGCGGCCGAATATGCCGGTAGATCATGTACATATGTTGTCTCCTCTTCATCTTGTTTGCTTGTTTGTTGATTCTCCACCAAGGTCTGTAGATCTGTTGCTTCATATCAACAATAATTGCACAGCAGAAAAAGCAGCAGCAGCTAAGAAACTTGTCCCCAACAAGCAGTTAGATTGAACAGCTGATAAATACGCGTTGGTTATATGTAGCAATTCATATTAAGTCCAAACATCTAAGTAACCAGTTTCTCCACACAATGACGAGCCTCTTATCCCCAGTATCCTCAGGTGTCACCACTGATAGAGTCGTTTAGTGAGAAGAAGTAGCCAGCACATTCACCGAAGTAACCTACCACTTGTTAGTGCTATGTACTATGCCTACCACCATGATTGGAGACTTTGGTTGGAGGAAACCTCATTCAGGGCTAGCAGCTATCGGGTACATGTTGAATGTGGTACTTTTTCCCCCTCCAAGGGGCAAAAGGTAGAAGTGGATACTTTGAAGAACAAAGTAGTTATATTCTTCGATGTCTCCCTAGGAATTGGCCCCAATCTCTCGCGCGCTTTATATATCATACTCGTTGGACTGCCAATAAACTATGGACGTGTCACTTCAAATGATGTGGGTTGCCTTAGTTATGTCATCTCCCCAACGCTTCAGGCTCTCGGCCTTTGTGCCAGTTTGTTCCATCAGCGCTCCTTAAGCTGTTGTATTTCTGGCCGGGCTCTACGACGTCTCGGTTGGGATCAAAGATCCTATCACAAACACTGAGTGACAGCGAATTCAGTGGAGTGAAAGACTCCACGAGCCCGGCGTCTTCCAAATCGATGGTGATAAGCTTGTTGCAGGGCAAACTGCACAGTCCCATCGACCCATCATTGAACACGGTCAGCTTCCCAATACGTTTGCTTGCTGCCAATGCCCGCAACGTAACCTGCCAGGTATCAATAGCAGAAACCTACACGCGTCTGCATACGTACCACCGGGTCCATTTATTCAAAGCAGGGAACTGTCTTACACCGTCGAGATAGACCATAAGACTCTGAGAGTGAGTGATTCAAGGCAGCCACTTTCCTTGAGTTTAGCAGTTTTCTCGAACGCCTCAGTGAGATAGCCGATGTGCTTTTGGCGTTTGGCTTCTCCATCTTCAGTTTTGCCGCATAATGACGTTCAGGTTCCTGAGCTGGCTGCATCTTTTCTTCGACTCGCTTGGTGAATGCCTGCAGTGCCTCGCTCGTCAGGTCCACGCCTTGCGAATGGTAACATACTTATCCCACGCTCCAGCCAAGAGAACATGATGGATCAACAGGTGTCGATATCGAAAACTGGACAGGAGAGGGTGGTGAATCCGGCAAGGAGAGAGACAAGCCGCTCTGGCCATGCTGAGAGGGGTCAACAGGGGTATATAGATATGTAGTTATATAATATATGTTGTACTCCACATTTCATAGATAGGCCGAGAGCAGGGCCGTGTGCAGCAATACAGTCTGCACTACGGAGTACTCCGCCGGCGAATGTCATACAGCCCGCGTTAGAGCCGCTGCGGCTGCTGGCGACGTCGAGCGTCCATGATGGAACTTCTCGACTTTCTCGACTTTCCACGAGGTCGAGAGAGACTGCTTAGTCACGTGTATTAGTAAGACAGTAGTCAGCAATAATGTTTCATCACGTGCAGATCGCGCTAGCCTGATCTGGGCCGTCCACCCGCTTCTGCTGAGTCATGCCTGGCGCGTGCTTTTACACCCAATAGGAAGGCACGACCGCCAATTCAAGTCTCCACTTTGCGGGCCGAAGTAGCCCAAAGCGGCTAGCCAGGCACCCTCGCCCCACCCCCTTCGGCCTCATTGCCGCCCCTGATTGGCCCACCCGGGCTCCACCCGCGACATGCTGCGCCCGCCCTAGCCGCGGCCCTGGGCTCATTTCCCGCCCGTCCTCCGTCTTTTCTCTTCTGACAACACATCGCGATGTCTCATCCTCGCCTTCGTCCTCGTCTTCGCCCTCGCCCGCTGCTCGCCCTCGTCACTCGCTCGCTCGACGCTCTCGCCGTCTCTCGCTCTGCATCGTCGCCGCCGCCGTTGTCGTTGTCTCTCTCCTCTACCCGCTGTCCCGCTGCATCACCAACGGCGCCAGTCGAAGAGCCGCTGAGCGAGTGATGTCTGCCCTGATTTGATCTGGCCCGACTTTCGCAGCCGTCGTCGCTTCACACTCGTTTCAACGCCCAACCAACTTTCGACCGTTAAGACTGTTCTTATATTACTCCGTATTATTATTATTACTGCCGTCCAGCCTCGCCCCGGGATCCCCCCCGTCTTTCTCTTTCGTCGTCCTCACTCTTTCACCCTCCACTGTCACTCGTTTGATTCTGCTGCTGCGCAGCTGACCCTCGCTTTTCCTCCATTCACTTCCTCTATCTCTGCCTATCTCTCTCTCTCTATCTGTCTTTCTCTCTCTCTGTCTGTCTGTCTCTCGCGCGGGCTTGCTGGCCGCTCAGTCTGCACCGCAAACCGACCCCATCATGAACCCAGAATCCGGTATGTCTGGCCGTCATCGACTCGCTTCGCTGGCTTTGCTAACATCCGTGGATACAGCCATCTACGGGCGGAGCCCAAGTACGCTCTTCCGTCGATGCGTCGTCAACTGCCCAACCGAGGCGCCGCCGTGTCCAACCTGCAAGGAGAAGGAGATATGCACTCTCACGGCCAAATCGTGCGAAGCCTGCGCTACCGCCATCTGCGTCCCTGATCCCCTCGCCAACCAGCCGTCCGATGACTCGGGCTCTCCCACAGGCGCCATTGCTGGCGGTGTCGTCGGTGGCATCGCCCTCCTCGCCGCCATCCTCTTGACCTGGTGGTTCTGCGTCCGTCGTCGACGCAAGAACACTGAGATATGGCACGAAAAGACCAACGCCAGCAGCGTCGACGTCGACGGCAACAGCCAGAGGAGACAGTCTGCCGTCGGCTCCATCGCCTCCACCGTCCTCACCAGGGCCTCCAACGTCATCCAGATCGCATATATCCCCGGTGTCACCAACAGATCGGCTCCCGGCTCGCCAGACCTCATGGTCCCTCCCGTGCCTCCAATCCCATCTGCCGTCGCCAACGGCCAGAACCAGCACTTCTTCATGCCCGGCGACATCCGGGACTCCATGTGGTCTGGCATGACTGACGACGACGGCAAGAGCATCAGCCCCAGTCTCGCTCGCAGCAGTGTCGCCACGACCATCTACCGTCACAACGCCATTGTCAGCCCTGTCCCGGCCCAGGAGGCCTACCAAGCCAGGGCAAACATCGTCAGCGTCAAGTCAGGCACTAGCTCGTCCTCGCCTCAGTCGTCGCCCAAGGTGCCGGCCATCACGAACTCGCAGATCAACAAAGCCAACGCCGTCGCAGCCAAGCTTGGTGTTAGCTCCATCGTTGCTCGTAGCGCAGTTGCTAAGCCTATCAATGTTACGAAGGGCGGTCGCTCCAAGACAACGACGACCACTACTACTGCTTCTTCTACCACTGCCCTCTCCGACAACAACTCATCACAAAACACTCCCAAAGTCACAGTCGAATCACCCGAACGCAATCCATCCACTGACAGTTCTAGCAGCGACTCTTCCAGCTCAAAGAACGATGCTACTTCCACGACTGACAAAAATGGCACCGCCAAGGTGAAATCCCGCCAATCCGTCCAGTCTCTCGCAGTCACTGAAATAGACGACTCGCCAGACCAAAAACAAAGCCCGTTTGCCGACCCAATCGTCGAGGAAGAACCCATACCCTCTGGCTTGACTAGCGGACCGACCAGCCAGTCAAACCGAAGTGCAAGCCCTTTTGATGACAAGCATGAAGTTAAGGGGTAGACCATGTCTACGCTTTACACTCCCCTCGCACGCTCTCACACTTAAACACTCCTACTTACGAACCCTCCTTCTACTTTGTCCTTTGCCCCCAGTGTCTTTGTTTTGTTCCTAGGACTGAAGCTCGTCCCCAAAATGGAACCTTTATGCGGCGTCTGTTAAAGGAATTGGTGGCCCCCGGTTTTCGTCTTCCTCTGTTGTTTAGCCCCTCTCCCTGTTTTTTTTTTTTTTTTTTGCGTGCTTGTTCCTGTCCTTTCCCCCCAATATCAATGGCTTCCTTTTAATGTCTCCATACACTGTCTATTCCCACTACCCCTGTTTTGTGCCTTGGTGATATCTGGTCGGGTCCTGGCTCTCCTTGCCCGTGTAATAATGTTTCTTCAATCTGTACTATGAACGAAGCTGATCTACGATTCTATCTATACCTAGTGTTATAACATATTTTCGCATCGTAGTCAGCTTTCACATCCCCATTTACTCAGAGTCTAGATCGATGCAGTAGTAAGCCTCCGGTCGCTGCCCTGGTCAAAGTCTCTGGCCGAAGGGATGACTTTAGACTCCCACACTTCGATCTCGAGATTCCCTTGCTCCACGGTCCCACCGGGGCCCAGAAAGAACTTCGTCACAATTTGTTTGCGAAGGGGCTTGTCGGTGTAGGATCGAGGTATGGTTTCTCCCCTGCCTAGAACACGCAGCACAGTAGGCAGATAGCCGACTGGTAACGACGAGCCAGACAAAAGATCCTCACGCAACTTTGCAAGAGTCAGACCCTCTCCCTCAGCCTCAGGCTTCAGCCGCACTACCACTGCGATGTGTTCACCGACCGAAGCCTCCGGAGCTGGGACGGCATATGCCTCATCGACATAATGTAATCTCAATAGCTGCATCTCCAGCTCGGGGATCGGCACCTTATATGCATGATGCTTGATAACTACCGGCCCATGCAAAGAGAGTAAAAAGTTAGCATATCCCTGAAGGGCCACAGAAGAAAATCAGGGCATAGCCGGATAAAAGGGATACTTGCAGTCGTGCTTGAGCCGGCCATCAATGATATAAACGCCATTCGCAATATGGCCTCTATCTCCCGTCTTGTAGAAACCCTCAGCGTCAAAGACATCTTCTGTGGCTTTTGGATCTCCTAGGTAACTGATTGATTATTTGTGTTAACCAGAAGGTTACAACTAGCCAACTCCCGCAAGGCAGCAACTTACTGAGAAACCACCGTAGGCCCCTTAATCAGAAGCTCGCCGTGATCACCCTCAGACAGCTTCACCTCTAACTGGCCGTAAGGGGTTCCGACAGACCGCTATATAACACAGGCTGTTAATTAGCTCTTAATTTGCGTGCAGAATTAAATGGCCGTGGTGGTAATCTAACCTCGACATCCTCCTCAACGTCCGCCGCAGTACGAAGCCCACATCCTCCCATCTCGGCGGCAGAGTAAAGGTTCATTAAGGGGTGGCCGAATATCTCTCTCCAGAACTTGAGTACGGGAGGGAATATTGGTATCGCGCCAGCCATGGCCAACTTGACATCCCTTGCACCATGGCGATATGGCTCTAGCTCAGCGGGCGATAAACTACTCAACTCGTTAATATAGTACTTCATCATGCTCATCCACACGTTTGAATGGGCCATGAGGAAGGTAACACCGCCCTGTCGAAGCCGCTTCCAAGCCACCTCGGGCCTGCTAGGCTGGGAATCAAATATTTCGATTCTCACGCCATTTAACAACAGCTTTGTTGGGGGCCAGACACCGCCGATCCAGTTCATGGCTGTGATCATGGTGATGAATACATCATCAGGGCCACCATCTGGCATGGGGATATTGAAGAAATCCCGCGTTAGGACGACTCCTTTGGGCGGCCCCGTACTTCCAGACGTACCCAGAACGAGACTGGGGCGAGTAGGCTCAATTGTAAGACCCTCATTGATAGTGATATCAATATGACACGCGTGTTCTCCGTCGGTTGTATCCGCGGCAAACGATATGGGAACAAGGCCTAAGGAAGTCGACTGTTGAATCTCCAGCGCTTTCGATTCCAAGTTTGCTGCAAAAACAAGACATGTGGCCTCCGACTTGTTCTTGAATCGTGTAGCTTCGTCAACAGATACATTGGCAGCTACCGATTTCCACGAGTAGGCAGTTAGCGGTACTTGTATTAGCAGATTGCTCTAGCGATAAAGGGCTGGCTGCCCACTCACACAACGGCACCACCGCTGCTCCTAGTGCCAGGATAGCAAAAAAGCCGACGAAGTAGCGGTAGCTACAAGGTGCAAGAAGCAAGATATACGGTTTCTGCTCATATACCATACCGTGCTGGTCAAGCATCCCCGCAGGTGCCGTACGTCTGACGGCAGCTCTGGTTGCCAGCACGTCGTTCACAAATTGAGAAGCACTCGCCTTGATGCCGGAATATGGGTCATCAATAGCAACATGGTCGTCTCCGAGTTGTAACAAGCCTAGAAGCTTGCCGAAGAAGGGCTCATTGGGCAGAGCCCTGTCTCGCTGTGGTAAAGTCTCGATCTCAGTCATTATAGATTGAAAATTGTCCGTGTACTGTAGTTATAGATAACTACTCAGTAGCCCTGGCTAACTATAGAATAGAAATCAAACCTCCTCCGTCTGGTTTCTGGCGACAAGAAGCACACAGTATTTCAATAATGATCGCACCCCTTCCATCTCGTGCGTGCAGACCTGGTCCAGGATGCAACGAGAGGGGCGGCTATCACGGTGTCACCCTTGTCACACTGGAAAGAGCGAAGGAATGACATGTACGGATAGGAAAGTCAGTACATGGCAGCATTGCCGCTTGTTGGTGGCCTTCATGGGTATATATGCATGGGTGCAGTCAAGGGACACACCTTCACGGTGTCGATGAACAAACCGCGGGTACGATCCCGGCTTCAAGGCTGAACGGGCTGAGCGACCTGTCGTTTGCAGAAAAAGACATATATTCCTAAGCATGTCTCGCTTAAGGAGAGGAATCAGGAACAGGCACTAATCGTGGAGAAATCTGTACAGGAATATTCACACAGCCACTGAGCGTTGTTTTCGCCAACGGTCAGGCTGCCTTTTGTCTTTTTGTGCCTGCGAGTTTCCTCCCGCACCAACGACAACGACAACTGTTAGAGAGGAGTGTCAGGATCTCAGTTACGAGAGTGGGCCTGACAGAGGGTTTCATCGTCGTCTAGACCCATCCACCATTCCCTTGTCCTTGACATCCTCAACTGCCCTTTGTATTCTTATTTTGAATTTTTAATTTTTATTAGCTGAAAACAATGGACTTATTATCCATATCGAGTACTAGGCGACTAATCTCTCGTAAATTACTGTTCCATGTGTGCAGGAAAAGACATATGATACCGTACGAAATACATAGTGCCGCCACGAGGCGCCGGCCAATCAGAGCGGGGCCCCGGTCTATTTTTAGACAGGGGCTTTGCGATTACTAAGGTTACAGCACCTAAAAAAAAGACGACGACGACGACGACGAAACAGTAGCAAGCGCAGAGTACCGTAGCATCGCGATGAACGGGGGCAGAGAGAAGGCAGGGCGCAAGGTAGAACGACGCTGTACCTGTGCCCTGCTGGGCCAGCGCCAACTCCAACTCCAACTTCCAGCCGCCCTCGTCGTCCTGCAGAGACACTCTATGCGCCGGAGGTATTATTAGATGTTTCAGAGTGCTGACCTAAGCACGGCTACGCGGGTTCTTCCGAGCCGACAACCTTAAGTATCGGTACTTCCTATTCCATACAATCTGCGCGCTTAACGCAGGTACCACTACTTCTGCGCGCGTCTTTTCGGGACCCCTGCGAGACCTCATCCTCTCGCTGGGCTGGTTGCTCAGGGGGGCTGTGAAAGAGGAAAAAAAAAAAAAAAAAAAAGAAAGGAAAAGGCAAAAAAGAAAGAAAAGGGAAAGGAAGCGCTGGACAACCTCTCCAAGGCGTGTAGAACGTATTTCTTATTCTTCTTCTTCTCGCTGTCGCTCTGTCTTCAACTTCTTCTCCGTCTTTGTTTTCTTTTCTGCGGTGCCAACCTCGACTTCCGACTCTCCATTCTACTGCTACAGACTCCCCGTCGTCCGTCACTTGACACGAGGGTCGTGATCTGGAGCGCCAGCACCCTTTTTCACGCCTGCCTGTGTGACCGCTCTCTGCCTTGTCCATCTCGCTTCTCATTTACCAGCGTCAAACTCCTCTGACCGACCCTCGACCGTCCAACGACATCTGTTCTGCCATTCGTTGACCTGAAATCCGGCGCAGAGAAAGGTGATATATACCAAGAGAGTCGGCGAAAGGGGAGCCCTAAGAGCCCAAGAAGGAAGAGGGAAATTAAGTAGCGGTCGTCCGCGTTCGTTACCATGGCCTACCCGGGCCCCAGCTCGCCAGGAGGCTACAATGATGGCCACCGGCTGCAGGACATCACTCCCTCTGCAAGTGTAAGTTCCCGAATCATTCAACTATCACTTCCTCCATCCCCCAGACTGGCATCGGATAGAGCGTGGTATCGAGATCGTTTTGTTATCCTCGCTCTGCAGCACGTCTCTTTCATCCCCTTGCCTAGTCACTTGTTTCATGTTTGATGGTGAAATAAATGATGAAGAAAGTAAAATAATACACAAAAACGCCGTCCTCCCTCTTTTTGCTCACCTCTCCCCATGCTTATTTGACATGTTTCTCTTCTAGCAATACCATCTGCCGCAGGAGGACGAGTCCTCTCGCTCGTTACTCAACCAGGGTCCCTACGGTGGCCCCTTTGACGACCCCCAACAACGCGGACACTCGCCCGTACGTCCCTCGTCGAAGTACAGTTTGACCGAATCCTACTCGACAGACGCTCCAGCTATGGCTCAATATCCACAGGATCAGATGCAGAATCCTGCTGCCGGCTTTGGGGTACCCGGACGCGTTCCTTCTCCCTATACCCGCAGCGAGACCTCTTCCACCGAAGCCTGGCGCCAGAGACAGGCTCCTCAACAAGGCAACCTCCGACGTTATGCCACCAGGAAGGTTAAGCTTGTCCAGGGCTCTGTCCTCAGTATTGACTACCCGGTGCCCAGCGCGATCCAGAACGCCGTCCAAGCCAAGTACCGCAACGACCTCGAGGGCGGCAGCGAAGAGTTTACCCATATGAGATGTGAGTTTACCACTACTCTTCCCATCGGGGTCCCTTTTTGAATGCAACCTATTCGTGCATAATCTTACACTTACTGTCTGTAGATACTGCTGCTACCTGTGATCCCAACGAGTTCACTCTTCACAATGGCTACAACCTGCGTCCAGCCATGTACAACCGCCATACCGAGCTGCTCATTGCCATTACCTACTACAACGAAGACAAGGTGCTCACTGCTCGTACCCTCCACGGTGTCATGCAGAATATCAGAGACATCGTCAACTTGAAGAAGTCCGAGTTCTGGAATAAGGGTGGCCCGGCCTGGCAAAAGATTGTTGTGGCTCTTATCTTCGACGGTATTGATCCCTGTGACAAGGACACTCTCGACCTCCTTGCGACTGTTGGTGTTTACCAGGATGGTGTCATGAAGAAAGATGTTGACGGAAAGGAGACCGTTGCTCACATTGTAAGTCAAGCAGCATGATTGGGTCTTTTTCTACCGGGATACGTGCTGATATATACCTTGTAGTTCGAGTATACCACACAGCTCTCTGTGACTGCGAACCAGCAACTCATCCGCCCCCATGATGACAGTCCGTCCACCCTCCCACCTGTGCAGATGATGTTCTGCCTGAAGCAAAAGAACAGCAAGAAGATCAACTCCCACAGATGGCTCTTTAACGCTTTTGGCCGCATCCTTAACCCTGAAGTCTGTATCCTGCTCGATGCAGGCACCAAGCCAGGGTCAAAATCCTTGCTTGCCCTTTGGGAGGCCTTTTACAACGACAAGGATCTTGGTGGATCTTGTGGTGAGATTCACGCTATGTTGGGTAAAGGATGGAAGAACCTCCTCAATCCTCTTGTTGCCGCGCAGAACTTCGAGTATAAGATCAGTAACATTCTTGATAAGCCGCTAGAGAGTTCGTTTGGCTACGTCAGTGTGTTGCCTGGTGCTTTCTCTGCCTACCGATTCCGCGCCATCATGGGAAGACCGCTAGAACAGTACTTCCACGGCGACCACACTCTGTCCAAACAGCTCGGTCCCAAGGGTATTGAGGGCATGAACATCTTCAAGAAGAACATGTTTTTGGCTGAAGATCGTATTCTCTGTTTCGAACTTGTCGCCAAAGCTGGATCTAAGTGGCATCTTACATACGTCAAATCCTCCAAGGGTGAAACCGACGTTCCCGAAGGAGCTCCTGAATTCATCGGTCAGCGTCGTCGATGGCTCAATGGTTCGTTCGCCGCCAGTATCTACGCTCTCATGCACTTTGGCAGAATGTACAAGAGTGGGCATAACATTCTTCGCATGTTCTTCTTCCACATTCAAATGCTGTACAACACTTTCACTGTCTTCATGACCTGGTTTGCTCTCGGTATGTCTTTCCTCCCATGAATTCTTACCAGTCACAAATTAGTCCAGCGGCTAATATGATAACACTTTCATAGCTTCGTACTGGCTTACTACAGCCGTCATCATGGACCTCGTTGGTAACCCTGGCCCATCCAATGGCAACAGAGCTTTCCCATTTGGCAACAAGGTGACCCCTATCCTGAACACTCTGTTGAAATACGCGTACCTTGGCTTTTTGCTCCTACAGTTCATTCTTGCTCTCGGCAACAGACCCAAGGGGTAAGTCGCACCACACAACTCTGCCCTGTACCGCTCTCTTATCAACTCACTGACTTGATGAATTTCCAGTTCCAAACACTCGTACATCACCTCGTTCGTTCTTTTCGGTGTCATCCAATTGTATATCATCATTTTGTCCATGTACCTGGTTGCTCGAGCCTTCTCTGGCGGTACCTCCTTGTCGTTCGAAACCGATCATGGCCCCGTTGAGTTCTTGAAATATTTCTTCGGCTCGTCCGGCCCCGGTATCATTGTCATCGCTCTCGCCGCTACCTTTGGACTCTACTTCATCGCCTCGTTCATGTACTGCGATCCATGGCACATGTTCACCTCTTTCCCGGCTTATCTGCTTATCATGTCCTCATACATCAACATTCTCATGGTCTACGCTTTCAGCAACTGGCACGATGTGTCCTGGGGTACCAAGGGATCTGACAAGGCCGATGCCCTACCATCCGTACAGACCGTGAAGGAGGACGGAAAATCAGCAACGATTGAAGAAGTCGACAAACCCCAGGCAGACATTGACAGTCAATTCGAAAGCACCGTCAAGCGCGCTCTGACCCCATATGTCGAACCCAAGGTGGATGAGAAAAAGACGCTCGAGGATTCGTACAAGAGTTTCCGTACCCGTTTGGTCTCATCCTGGCTCTTCTCCAATGCTATCCTCGCTGTTGCCATTACAAGCGATAAACTGACTGCTCTTGGTTTTACAGTATGTCCTACTCTTCATACCTTCATTCATATGCTATAGTGTTGTTCCATTGTCAACTAACCAATCCTGCAGTCACAAGCCACTGAACGTACCAGTCGATTCTTCCAGTCTCTCCTGTGGGCAACTGCGGCGCTGTCTCTTATTCGATTCATCGGAGCATGCTGGTTCCTTGGCAAATCCGGTATCATGTGCTGTTTCGCAAGAAGATAGTAGTGTTTTTAATACCTTGATTCCGATTAACGGCTTTTCTTTTCTGATTCTTCAAATACAGTTTCCCTTTTCTTTCAATTCTTTTCTATATTTTCTGCTTTTTCTTTTTTTTTTTCCTTTTTTTTTTTTTTTTACTTCCTATGTCTTCTCTTTTCCTCGGTTACTTCTCCTATCTCCTTTCCTGTTTTTGCCCAGCTTATGCCAAATTCTATTCTAATGCCCATTCCTGACCTGGCCGGGGACGTGTCTTGTATTTTAGATGAATATTCTCTGTTATTTATGTACCTGACCATTTCTTCCCCATGTTTCAATCCTCCCTTCTCGCGTGGCCACTCTGTTCGTCTGCACCCGTGGCTGTCTATCTATCCTCTGGAGGCTCCTCAATCGGAAGTATGGTCTTCGATATCCTCCGGGTTCCATGAAAATATGCCAAATTGCATCCTTCCCCCATACTATTTATCGAAGCGTCTTTCATATATATCCATATATATATCTTAACATCCAAACTCCAGTTACATACCTTTGATCACCTATGATAGAACACTCCCTGTGTTCTCTGCATCTGCCTCTGTGGATCAGATAACTAACTACATAGCTAACTAGTCCCTACGCCCAGAGTAAATTGGTGTCACACTATGTATGTACCAAGCCAACTACCGAAAGCTCATACACCCCGACAATGCCGAGGGGTGATATAGGAGTAGCCTGCGCTGCAGACAGCGTACCATCCCCGAGTCCCTGCTACCTCACTGTGCCTACGGTCTACCTAAGCCTTTCTCCTGCCCGACTCCCGTCTCGTCCATGACTTGTCACGTGCCCTTATCAGGCACCTGCAGCGCCTCGTTTTTGCCCGCCAGCACGAAAACATCCAACGTCTTTTTAGCCGCTTCAACGCAGCTTTCACATCCCCTTTTCTCCTTGTCCCTTGCAGTAAACTAGAGTATATACGCACCAGTGACGGGTATTTCCTCTGTTTACCTCCTTTATTTGTCGACTTTCCTCCCGCATTCTGTGGCAGTTCCCGCTCATATCACTACTCTCCCGCTTATCGGTAAATACGACCCCCCGGTAGTTACTGCTAGTATATTCCATATGCTAGAACCAGAATATACGGTGACCCTCAGTTAACATACTTGTTGAGGAAGTGTTATCAATAGACAAGCTTTGTGTATCCTATTTACTGACTGCTCAGACACCTTTAGAGCTGTATCTTCATACCCAACGCGCAGCACGCCCCAGTATAACATATACTCCGTACACCGACCGACCTTTGCTTCTCAACTCTGCTGCCCCAAAACCGAGAACGACGGCCAGAGTGATAAAAGCACCCGTAGCCATATCCGCAGTCTACCTCATCGTCAAGTTGGCTCTGGTTCACCGGACTATATTGACAAGGTTGCTGGGGGTTTTTTCTTGTCCTTTTCCGCCAACTGCATCTTCCCGCAATAATTCAAGATGTTGAAAATATGGTCTATGGTAGGACCTTCTGAGGGTTTTCATCCCCATATACATGCCTGTGCAGCTGGACTGACTCTCAATAGAAACAGAAGCAGCAGCAAGCTGAGAACTCCGAAGGGGGCGGTGGTGCGGTAGAAACGAAAAAGAAGAAAAAGGTCACCGCATCTCAGCTACGAGTACAGCGCGGTATGTCTGTGATCCTGTGCCCATAATTTCGTCTTGATTCTCAACTAATGACAGGATTGCAGATCTCGCAGAGCTCTCTCTCGGCAGCACGATGAAAATGACATTTCCCAATCCCGACGATATCTTAAACTTCATTCTAATCATCGAGCCAGACGAGGGCATGTACCGTGGCGGAACGTTTTCCTTCACCTTCACGATCAACCAGAATTTCCCGCACGATCCTCCAAAAGTAAAAGGCCAGCAAAAGATATATCACCCCAACATTGATCTTGAAGGAAATGTCTGTCTCAACATATTGAGAGAAGACTGGAAACCTGTGTTAAACTTGAATGCCGTAATTGTTGGACTACAGGTGCGTATATTCGAGCATCTTTCAAGCGCCACTTCTGGGTCACTAACAACCAGTGTAGTTCCTCTTTCTCGAGCCAAACGCCTCTGACCCTTTGAACAAAGAAGCAGCCGACGATTTGCGACTTAACCACGAAGGATTCAAGCGGAACGTTCGAACCGCCATGGCGGGGGGCACCATTAAAAATATACAGTACGATCGCGTTACACGATAAGCATGACCTCATGTATGCCATTAGCGAGATTCTCACCATTCATCCTGGTTTCTGGCATTGCTCCTTTCCCCTCGGTATAATTACCTTCTATAGAAATGTTCCACCCAGCATTCATTTATTTACGTTCCATCGAGTGAAACTATACTTCTACATATGTACGACATTGCAGGCTGTCAAAACAGATCGTACATATTTAGTACCACCTTATGCCGGAGATATTGGTAGTTAAAAATTAATAAAAGGGCAGGTGTAAAAAGTTGACATTCTATAGCGAAGTAGGATTCTTCCAGTATTTTTCAAAGTTCCCTTTTTATACAGTACACGATACGCAGCGCGGATGACTCTCCTCCATCTCCCATGTCAGGTTGGCGGACCGGCCAGTGTATCAAAATTCACAATGTAATGGTGTGCGGTAATTCACAAGTATACGGATAATGGCCGGATAGCGGTGGAAGGCTGCGAGGTCAAGAAGGGCTGAGCATGCGTAACGATTCAAGGTTCGTTGGTAGCGTGTCAGGTTTTTAAGAAGAGAGCTCCTCGGCACGCTGGGCTTCAAGTCGGGAGTAGAAGTTGTCACGGGCACGGACGCGCGGGAGGTGATAGCCTGTATCAGTAGGGATCAGATATCTGGCAATGAATCTTGACTACCGAAGCATAAGGAAGTGCACTACATACCGTACCACCAGAAGTAGCCACAGCTAACTCCAAGTCCTACAATTAAGGGATATATTAGACAGATATTCGAACCGAGGTGTTCAGAGTTGGATATGTGTTTTGTCGATGGATCGAGATGCCTTCTCTCTCCCTCTTTAGGTAGTCACCGTCCTTCACTATGGTGGTCTTCCCTGGCAATTATCAGGTTTTGGACTTACCCAAGGCGGTGCTAAGATCAAGCACCAAGCCGCGGCGGAGCATCTACTCATCAGACATGACAATTAGCAAGTTTCTTCAGGACAGATGCCGGGCCATTCGGACGCAGGGCCTCCAGAAGAAGCCATAAAAGCTGCAAAAAAAGGCACGATGGGCCCTCTCGCGCGGCAAGGACGGCAAACTCCAGCACTTACTCCAGTAACGGGCTTCATAGCCATAACGCCAGCCATTGTGCAGCGCTGAGAATCGAGGTCAGGGCAGAGAAGGGTGGATGAATCGCAAGGGAGCAAAAGTTGGTCTGCGTCGTTGTTGAAAGTGTCTGAAGTGCGATCGGAAGTTGAAGTCGAAAGTCGAAGTTGATGGCAGGACGGATGGGTCACGTGATTCTCGTATGAGCCAACACAAGCAACACCAGAAAAGGCAGAAAAAGATTACGGCGACGGCGACGGCGACGGCGACGGCAGCATCAATAGCAAGTCGCATGAGTGAATGAATGGCTGTTAGCGAGAGCAAAAAGGGGCGTCATCTGCCCCGCGTCCGTCTTCCCATTGCCAGCCTGAATAATAATACCAACAATGAACACCTCACAGAAGTCCGGGTCCATCCATTGAATAACATCACGTGACTATTCTTCTTCCACCATTCCTCTGCCTGCGAAGTTCGAGATTCACGACATCCATCCGCATGCACCGCACGCAGACGGCGACGAGAAGGACACAGAGCAGAAGACAGCGAAGGATAAGAGCAGACGAGCGGCCTGAGCTGTTGGACATTACCTCGCGCGCCCAAACAACTCCATCTTGCTCCGTTTGGTTCCCTGTGGACCGCTAATCAACTTTCGCTCAGATGGCCCAGACGAACCCGGCCCAGATGCCTCCCTCACCCCAGAGCTCTACAAAACGCCCGTCATTCGATGCGGATGGCGCCTCTCCAGCAAAGAGACAGCGACGATCATACCGGCGGCATCACTGTTTGCAGCGTTCCCACGACCTTCTTGCTGCTGGCGCAGAGACCTTGAATGATAGCACCTCCATTGATGCCCAGCTGAATGCGTCGATTGCGAGAGTGCTGGATGAGGCCGGATTTGATAACGTCGAGCCGGTAGTCTTGGACAGCTTCAGGAACAATGTCGAAGAGCGTGTGTTCCATCTAGCCTCTGCTGCCACCTGATAGCCTGTAAAAAACTAACCATCTCGTCTAGATATGCTTCACTTTCTATCCTACGTCCGGCAGTCGATGACATCCAGTCGGAGGGTGCAGCCCATACCACAGGACTTTGAACACGCATTACGCTACCACTCGATACGTGTAGACTCCCTTCAACCGCATCTCAAGGCATTCCCGCGGAGGATGCAGCCTACTACTACTACTACTCCCTCATCCAAACCAAGTCTCCCTACTCCCCCTCCAGAAGGTGCAGACGATGAAGACAAACCCATACCAGCGCGAAATTACGCCTTCTTGGGGCCTGAATTAAACTCCGGGGTCGGTGATCTGAAGAAAGCCTCCTATATACCCAAAAACTTCCCCAGTTTCCCAAGCAAACACACATATCAAGAGACCCCTGTATTCGCCACCAAGCGAGAAATCAACCCTGAAAAGATCCGAGAACGCGCAACGGAGGAAGGTCGATTGGGTGAGGAGGCCTTGCGCAAGCTCACACGTGCGGCGAGGGAGGGTCAGGGCAGCGGTCGGGCACACCGGGACAAGTTACTGTGGGGGCGCAAAAACGAGAGCATGGACAGCATGTTTGACAAGACACTGAAGGCATTGGCAAAGTCGACCTCTGCCTCCAAACAGGCCGATGGCTCCCTAGTGCTAGACCTTGGGCCGATTGTGAACAGTAACCGGGTTTATTGGCGCAAACCATCAGCTCCAGCTACCCGCCCCGACCCGCAGCGTATGACAATGGCTGCGGCGAGGGAAGCTGAATAGACTGGCTGGCCTGTCGTCAACCTCCAACAATCTTACTCTATCTTCTGCTTCTTCTCGGTTGCTCGTCCGTTGGATTAAACGGGTTGATACCGGTGGCTCGACACGGCCTTGACGTGACCTCATCCTGCACTCTTTGCTGTATTCGCCATTGACGCATGTTTCCTCAGTCTCCCATGTAAATAGATGAAACAGTTTCATCATACGTAATCTCTAATCCTCGCTGTCTATAGCCTTGTCGATGCTGTTTTCTCCCATGCGGTTGTCTCAGCGGTAACTCCGTTGGCACATCTAGCGAGCGGTCGCCATCATCAGCACTATCCACAACGCAACGAAACAACAGGGAGGGAACCAAATAAATACCTTCGGAAGAGCCTCGTAAATGTTGTACACCTGACTACGCCGGGCTCCGGTGGCCCTGCGTCCGGCGGATTGCACGAGTACTGCGTCAGTTCGTAGAGAGGGCACTGAGCCAGGTCAATGGGGCCGCCCTTGCGAGCTTTCGCCCTGTAACCAACATGATAGCTCTGCAGGCGCTGAGGGAGCTCAGTAGCCGGCCATGACTCGACCTGAGGTGCCATTGATGAGTGCTGATCCCCGGGTCCGTGCAGGGTAGACGCTCGACGTCGAGTGTACAGACGTTGAAGTTGAGGCTCTTACGGCAGACTGGATGTTCGAACTAGTTATCGGGTCAAAATTCATTTCATATGGAGGAGTTAACCATTACTTATTTTCTAAAATTACGTAATTAAAGAATAAAGATATATTATTGGATAAGATAGAATAACTTAATTACTAAGTAATATACTCCTTTTTTTCGACCAACCGCAGCGGACCCTAGTCAACTTAACCCAATTAGGTAATTAACTTAGCTTCGAGCATCTGCTACATAACTAAACTACCGCAGACGACTGCACAGCCATCCACAAGGCAAGAGTTCAGAAGCTGTCATGGCTACGCGGGCTTTAGGGAAACGGGTTCGTGAAGAGACCCAGGAAGACACTCTGGAGGGCGTGAGCAATGACCGATTGAAACCTATAACTAATAACGAGCTAGTTACCCAAGCACCAGCTAACCGTGCCCACAGATCCTTCGCGATGTTAGGCGTAAATGCGGGAAGCATCCCCAAGGCCATATCGAGACAACTCCCGTGGGCGTCAGAGTGATTGATGACATGCTGCGCATCTTCCACAGACCGCCACATTCTCGCCCTGGAGGGCCTGATCACCACAAAGTGCTGGAGATTGCCGGCCCCAGACGAGGCCTGGGGAGGAGCAGCGGCAAGTCATCGCTACTATACTATATTGCTGCTGTAGGCATACTGCCGGCATCCTTCAACGGTATCCGCATAGGTGGACAGAACGGGGTCGTTGTCTTTCTGGACTCCCAGAACCATTTCAACGCTACCCGTCTACGCGACGTAGCTCTTCACTACGCGCGTGAGAAGATGTATGGGCAAAAGCAGAAGCAGCGCGGTGCTGGACCGCCTCCTCGCAAGCGGCTGAGAGAAGATGAGGAGGCTGAACTGCGGAAGATGGTGACAGACTGCCTGCAACATGTCCATGTTTTCAAACCTAGCTCGTCGGAATCAGTCGTGGCAACCCTACGATCCCTAGAGGAATACCTGCTTGACGTAACACGGCATCGTTCTGCTCCAAGGAAGCTCCATTCTATCATGCTGGATAGCACGTCCTCATTCTACTTCAAGGACAAACGCCAGGCACTTGTAGACAGCCTGCCAACGGAATTGCCTAAATTTCCCTGGACTGAACCTCCGCAGCTCTATCAAATCGTGCACTCAGCGAAGTACATTGTCTGGTGTCTGCGCCGGCTTCAAGACCGGTTTGCATGTACTGTTATCTACACCGTCATCGGTAGGAGGAGGGCTGACCTACACATTCCTAAGCCAAGCGGGTTTGGATATCCTGTTGAGCTTCTATATCCGCGTCCCAAGGTCATGTCCTTTATGCCCCATTTGCCTCATGCATGGAGATCCTATTCAACAATGCGACTAGTTGTCCGACGTGATGCAGTCCGCAAATTCTCTTCACGGTCCATCAAGGACGCCCTTCATCTTGGCCATCAGCGCAGTCTTGTAGTTGCACAGGGGAAATTTTCGGCATGGATTGACCCCTATGGCAAAGAGGACTGGCCATCATGGATCGGGCCGTCGATACAGAAATCAAAATGCAAAGGACGGTTTAATTATTTTGTCCATAAACGGGGCATTAACCTAGTGGAATGAGAAAAGCACACTTTGCTATCTACTATCTATGTTATTCATATATCTGTCTGTGAGCGAAAGCCATCTCCAGGATTAAGATGCAGAAAATAGACCGGACATGGCGTCGATAGTCGTATTGCCCCCAGAGAATATGACTCCGATATTCCAGCCTGCTTCACCACCCTCTTGTTCAACAATCCGCCTAAACTCCTCGTTGTAGAGGCAGACTGCAAGGGGAACAGCCGCGCTGGGTTCGATGACTATCTTCATCCTCTCGACAACAAGTCTCATTGCACTCTTAATTTGCTCCTCGGTCACGCTAAACACGCCGCGGGATTTGGCGGGATCAGAAAGGATACTAAATGCGATCTCACCGATCGGAACCCTTAATCCGTCGGCGATTGTAAGTGACTTGACCTCTGGAATCCTCACCCCAGCTTTAAGTCCACGACGAGCATCGTCTGCGCCCTGGAACGATGGTTCAGCGCCAAAGACGTGGATCTTGCGGCCATCAGCCCGTGGATCGGCGAAGACGGTAGCGGTTCCAGAATTCAGACCTCCTCCGCCCACGGGGGTGATAACTGCATCCAAACCACATCCTTTCCCATCCTCAGTCTCACGGACACTCAACTCGGGGTTCTCAGATACAAGTTTGTTTACTTGGGTATCCAGTTCGAGGCCAGCAGTTCCTTGGCCAATGATGGTATCTGGGTGGTCGTATGGGTGAATCAGAATAGCACCAGTCTCCTCCTGGACCTTCCGCATCACTTCTTCGCGCTGCTCGCTCGTCAATCCGGAGAAAACCACCTTCCCACCGTAGCCCTTGGTGGCTTCGATCTTAGATGGGATAGATATCGACGGCATGATAATGTAGGCCGGGATTGAAAGAGTGGACGCAGCGAGAGCAACAGCCTGAGCATGGTTTCCTACACCCAACCATTAGCCGTACGGTTTCACACAAACAAAGTGATAATGCTGGAATAGCAGAAATGAAAACAGGCAAAGATAACAGACCAGAGCTGTGTGTGATTACACCACGCTTTCTCACCTCCTCCTCACCCTTGGTCTTGATAACTCGCAGGATGGAGTGGAAAGCTCCCCGCACCTTGAACGCTCCGATCCGCTGGAAATTCTCACACTTGAAGAAGAATTTAATCTTCGGGCACGCCGGCTGCTGACCCTCGAACGGGGTTCCTATCAAGGCCTCCGCTGGCTGCGGGGTGGACGCAAGGGAGTTCAACGTCTTGGACGTCAGAACCGGGGTCTCGTAAATATACGGCCTAATCATAGAATGAGCAGTTTGGATGTTCTCCCGCGTCACGGGGAGCCAATGCTGTTTGTCCGTCATGTTTGCAGGGCCTAGTATGCACTGTTCTTTAAGATCTGTCTCAGCACCACAACGCCTCTCAGATACCTGTTCGTTTCCCTCTTTCCACCTGTCCGCGCCTCCGGCCTTATATCTCGATCTCGTATTCGCAGGGCGTGCGGCTCTTCCGCGGCACGTGACATCCCCGAATTTCTAACTTTGTTAGTAATCTCGAGCCTCCCTTTGATTACTAAGATGACGCAGTATAAAACCGCAGCATGACAGAACATCAAGACACTTACTTGCCTTCTATTGTCCTCTACCATCAGCTACGCAACGAATACACTATTCCATATTATTGCGGTCCTGAAATTGAACTGCTCTTCTTCTGGCTGCATCTAGAGCCATCTTGATGTTTGTATGTGTGCTATCTGTCAGAATAGTAGACTATCAACTAATCTGGCTTGTAACCTCAGGAAAAGCATAAGCGCACCTATCAACTGGAGAGATCCTACATTCATCTTCATCTATCGAGGCGGCAGCCATGGAGAATATATCACCTAGAGCTCTCCATCATAAGCTCACAAAGCGTTCCACTATGGCGGAGAAGTTTAAAATGATACCTGAAGGCTGGAAGCCTCCTGCCGATCCTTACGTACCAGATGCCGATGCTTTAAATATTGGAACACCTGGGTATTTCGAGAAGTACCACTTTTTCGTTCATGGAAACCTTATGGATAAGGAATTACTGGCCGAAGTCCTTGACCTACCCTCTGATGATGTGAAACTAAACCTGCGTCCTGCACAGGTTCTGGGCTATCAGGCTAAATTCGGGGGTGGATGCCCTGTGCTTCAATGTGCACGACTTCATTTTTTTGTAGATGGTATGGCTTACTATGTGGAGACACAGGAGGAGGAGAACCGCCTAACTGCATATAAAGCAAACGAATATACCCTGCGGGACTGTATCATCAGATTCTCCGATATTCTAAATGGAGACAATGAGCAGGTGCATGGTAAGACCTTTGTTTGGAATGGCAATTCTGCAGAATTAACAGAAGAGAAGTGAATGCTTCTTCTTCACTGGAATATTCAAGAAAGCAATGTTAACTAGCATAAATAAGTGAACAGTTCTCTGTTGCTTCAGAGGGAAAATCAAAAGTATCCAATATCTCTTTCCTCTACTCATAACGCAAGGACCTGCTTGATAATTCTGCATACATCTCCTCTAACCAGAACCTCCACCAATCTCTGCCTAGTCCAAGCCAAATGGAGACCAACTACAAAATTGGCATAGAAGTCGAACTGTTCCTTCAGCCAAATGACAATGTGTACACGTCCAAGGAAGATTTTGCAAAGGAGCTGGTATCCAGCTACCGCCAAATCAAAGAAAACGTGCATCTAATGCACCTTGATCTGGACGAATGCCCTTATTTTGGGCCGAATCGCCTAACTGAATGGACGATGGAGGAGGACTGCTCCCTTGAAACTGATAGGCCTGGACAGAGTATGTTTCTCTCTATCTTTCGTATATCAACTCGCTAACGAATCAACAGTTGACGCAGAATTCTCATCTCCAGTAATGTACCATTCCAATCCACTCTGGAGGAGATCTGTGGGATCTGTGTTCAAGCACTTGAGAACCCTTGCATCCCTTCAAGTGAACCACTCTTGTGGGTTTCACGTTCACATCAGCAAGCAAGAAAGACCGTGGACACTAGAGGATCTTAAGCGTGTTTCCCGCGCTATCCTGTACTTCGAGTCATCTATTGAGCTCGTCGTCCCCGAGCATCGCCGCGGGAGTATATGGGGGAAGAATAATTGTTGTGACAATCCGCGATTCGAAGGAAAGTCTGACAAGGCATCCTTTGACCTTGTCGATGCATGTAACAAACAATGTTGAGCTTGTACAGCTTATGAACTCCGGGAACAACCGGAATTACGGTTGGAACTTCACCAACTTGCTGGAGGGAGATAATTATACAGTCGAATTTCGCCGGGGTCCTGGCCTCACGGCTGAAATTGATGCCTTTCGATGGGTAGAGTTCGTGGTTCGGTTTATCAACAGCGCCCGAAACATTGGCACTCGATGGAACCTCAGCCTGTACAGACGCGACGTGCTTGGACTTCATAAGTTCTTATGCGACTATCCCGTTCCCAACAGCAACCCAGGCTTACTGGAACCCCTTTTCGCAGGCAAGACGGGAGTCTTGGAACCACGGAGACTTGGCCAATTAACTCCGGAACAAGCTAGACGGCTCAGGGACAAGGATGACGAAGCGAAAAATAAAAACACTATCAAGGAGAAGTGGTCCTTGATTCCGATGTGAGATACTTGCACTGTATGTAGGTAGAGAATGTGAGGATGGAGGATGAACTGCTGCAGTCTCTAAAAATAAAAAAATGAAAAGAAACGACCAAGCTATTTTGCGGTAACCTGAAGGTAATGGTACAAAGAGGAACAGCTCAGACAGGGTACAAAAGAGATAGAAAAATGAAGCCCGGGGGTATCGGTCGGTCAAACGGTCAAGAGAATAGGGCTGTGTCTATTTCTGGTTTTCCGGCCGCAGGGATCTAGGTAGGAAGAAAGTGTTAGTGTGAGCATGAGGAAGCAATGATACAGCAGGTGGTACCGGGGCAACGCTTACCTGACAGCCTTTCCGGCTCTCCAGATCTCTAGGTCGCGGATCTCCTGCATCTCCTTCTCGTACTTCTCTCGGTAATCCTTCTGCGAGTTATAATCCAACGAGCGCTTGGTTTCCTTACCATCCTTCACGCTGTCATACAGTTCATTGAAGACGGGCTTGAGGGTGTCCTTGAATTTGCTGCTCCAGTCAATGGCACCACGGCGAGCAGTCGTGGAGCAGGCGGCGTACATCCAGTCCATTCCATTGGCACCAATAAGAGGATACAGACTCTGGGTAGCCTCCTCGACAGTCTCGTTGAAGGCTTCGCTGGGGCTGTGGCCTCTCTCGCGAAGGACCTCGTACTGGGCGAGGAACATGCCATGGATGCCACCCATCAAGCAACCACGCTCGCCGTAGAGGTCAGAGTACACCTCCTTTTCAAAGGTGGTCTTGTAGAGGTATCCGCTACCAACAGCAACACCGAGAGCCACGGCCTTTTCCTCGGCCTTTCCGGTTACATCCTGGAAGACGGCAACGGAAGAATTGATACCACGGCCTTCACGGAAGAGAGAGCGAACGGTTCGGCCAGAGCCCTTGGGTGCGACCAGGATGACATCAATGTCCTTTGGCACGTCGACTTTAGTCAGGTCCTTGAAGACAGGAGAGAAGCCGTGCGAGAAGTAAAGTGTCTGCTATCCAAGTCAGCGTGTGATCTCCGTTTAGAATTAAATACGACTTGTGCCAGGGAATGACCTTACCTTTCCCTTAGTAAGAAGAGGCTTGATGGTAGGCCATGTCTCACTCTGGGCGGCATCGCTGAGCAAGTTCATGACGATGGTTCCCTTCTTGATGGCCTCGGTGACATCGAACAAGTTCTTGCCGGGGATCCAGCCATCCTGGATGGCCTCTTTCCACGACGCACCGTCCTTTCGGACACCTACAATGACGTTAAGACCATTGTCACGCAAGTTAAGGCCCTGGCCGTGGCCCTGGGAACCGTATCCGATGAGTGCGAGGGTGTCGTTCTTAAAGTACTCCTACACCGAACTGGTCAGTCCAACAGCCCCAATTGACGAGTTTCCCTGCCATTATCCCCCAATATAAGCACCCGCCTGACTCACCAGGAGCTTCTCGCGTGGCCAGTCCTCCCGCTCTGGAGCCTCGTTAGCAAGCAGTTCCGACATGAACAATTCAATTATACCTGGAAGCAAACTCACCGTAGACGGTCTCCTTGGTGCCGGCAAAGTCGATGGTCTTGACACCTCGGATTTGCTGCGTGGCCGGGGAGGCAATGGCAGCTCTGCCGGCAGCGACCAGGGTTGGACGAGAGCTTGCGGCCGCAACAAACGACCTCCGAGAGACGGCAGAAGCCGACTGGGATAGGTGACGGGCAACAGCCCTGGCCAAGGGACGGGCAGCCATTGTTCGTGATACTGTGCGGAGAGGAGACGGACGAAGCTGAAGCTGGAGCTGGAGTTTGACGCTGGAGTTGGAGGTTGGCGAAGTTGATATTTAAATGGATGAATAGGGAAACCTTTTTTTTTTTCTTGTCCTTCGCCCGGGATGAGTCAAAAAAAAGACAGGAAGAGGAAGAGGGAAAAAAAAACCTCGGCTGGTCCTTTGTTTCTTTTTGCGGGGTTTTGATTGGCCAGGAGAGGGGGAGCTTGGGCCGTGGCGCCATGCCTTATGGGGAATAGCGCAGCCGATATCGGTGACATGGATTAATAATTCTCCGATAACACGTGAGATGACTAAGAACTTATGTCATACCGCATCCTGTAGTGACGTTTGCTGCTCTTCGTTCTTGGTTGGAGTATGTATACTCCGTTGTAAGTAGTACTTAGTTGTATAGTAACATGCAAACATGCATGCATGCATGCGCATACAGGTTCACCGACCTGGGCCGCCTGGCCTGCTTTTCCCCACTGTGTTAAAAAGGAGTCCATCCGGTGGAGATCCAGACAGTCCTTACCGAATGGTCACAAGCGAATGGATGGTCCCCATATTGTGCATAGGTACGGTGCTAGCACAGGCATGACACAAGGCTTTTTGATAGATATTCAATATTCATGAGGACACTCGTGGTTTATTGCAAGTACCTAACCAACTTATACTTTACGGAGTACGGAGCACTTATACATAAAAAACGTACCAAGAGGTGGCATCATTATTATATAATCAGGAAATACCGAGGTATCATTGGACAACAGGAAAAGCTTTACTTACTAAGCGACCCTCTGTATTTTATCTGCTTACCTCAGGCACTGGGCTGGCTTCTCCCTCTTCAACAGTCCTGAGTCCTAAGTAAGAGAAGCCTCGAGTAAGCGAGTAAGCGGTGGGCCGGGCCTAGCGAGAGAGAAGACTCCTCAACACGCAGCCTATGGCCCATCTATCACAGTCCGCCGTCGTACGGTCGCAGGCCTGGCCCCCCGTCCCCCCGTATGCATCCGTCTGAAGTACTAGAGACGCCCGTGCAGACCCCGTGACCACGGGAGCCTCCCGTCCGCACTAAACTCTAACCAACTTTAAAGTGGCTGCCGGCATCTGACAAGCCAGCTTGCAGAGCGTGAGTGGCAGGGTTCCTCTCGCCGGGTGCAGAGCGAGACTCGGTACTACTCTACGGCGACCTTATACTACACTTAAGTACTACTGCGAGGTACATCGATCACTCTCCAGCAGCACCCTGGTCGGGGGACCTTGCGTGCGCCCTAACCTACCCGCAGGAGCCTGGCGCCCGCCATGGTCTGGGGACCGCGCGCTGCGTGAGCAAGTGCCCATCTTGCCCAGGGCTGGCTAGCCAGCAGATGCAGCCGCGCGGGCTTGAACGGTCGTCTCGGTTGTGATGCGTAGCGCGGCCGCACGTTCAGCTAGCTGCGGTACCAAGGCCATCTCAATCCACCCTGGCATGGATAGATGGATCGTTAACGGGTGGATGGTGCCTTGCCCCCACGTCCTCCCTACTGGTTTTCTAACCAACCAAACCACACCCCCTTGTTCTTATCCTCGCTCTTCGTCAAGTGAATACTAAAACTGACCTGAAGAAAGGATTCGTACATACATCGAAGTACAGCAAACAGTGCCAGCTGGGCGAACCAAAGCAATAACGGAGGCAGGAGACGGGCCACGACGACGATGCTGGCCTCAAAACTTCTCTCTTCAGCTCCCCACATCGCCACTCAGCAAGCTCTGCTCGTCCTCGACCTGCAGAACGACTTCGTCAGGCAACACGGGAATCTGTTTGTCTCCAACACCGCTGATTTTCTGTCGCTCATTCCGGACCTCGCTCGAATTTTCCGCGCCTCTGGAGAGGTTATCTGGGTGCAGAGTGTGTTTGAAGGGCGCCGGCCCGTGGTCAACGAAGGTCTAGGAGGGGATACCGTTGTGTTGGAGGATGGACCGCCTGTTACCAGCACGCCCGCGCCCAAAGGATTGTCTAAGAAGAAACAAGCAGCAGAGCAGGCTCGGCAATCTTTGTTCTCAGACGACCCCGAAGCCTTCCTCTCGGTCTCAGACAAAGCCTGTGCCGGACGGCGATGCTGCCTACCAAACTCCTCCGGATTCCACTTTCCTGCCCCCATCCTCGCTGCCATAGATCCCAACGAGGACACGGTTCTTGTCAAGTCAGAGTACTCGGCCTTTGAGACCCAGGGCCTGCTTCTCTCCCTCCGTTCTCGATTTGTCACCGAGATTTTTGTCTGCGGCTCGCTCTCCAATGCCTCCGTGTATGCGACCGCAGTCGATGCTGTCCGTCACGGTCTCACCGTCACCCTGATTGAAGATTGTCTGGGATATCGGAGCTCCTTGCGCCATCGGGAGGCGATGAGGCGCATGGCTGATATCATGGGTGCCAATGGAATAACGAGTCGTGAACTGATGGAGGGTCAGGACTTTGCTGCTGCTTCACCCGTCCTGGAGCGGGCAGACTCGTCACTTCTCACTGGAATCGAGGAGAAAATAGGTACGCTTGGACTCTCCTCACCCAACTACCAGAATCCCGACGGCCAAATTGCCACACACCACTTCATCGAAGGGGGTGCTGACAAGCCGCAAGATATCCTTGAGACAAGCCAGCGGCCAGTCGATCCTCCCGAGGAGAAAGATGCAAGGAAACCACAGGACGGCGACCAACCCATCGAATCGCCATCACCATCTCAAAAACAAAACTCATCTCAGCCTCTTGTCTGTACCCCGGGAGACCGCATTGCAAGCGGCGACTCCCGCATCCTCTACGATCTTGCCATCCCGGCTGACTCTTTCCAGCGGCTGCGGGACGAGGTCGAATGGCAAAAGATGTACCATATGTCGGGACAAGTTCCCAGATTGGTCGCTGTTCAGGGTGATGTTGCCCAAGACGGGTCAATACCAATATACAGACACCCGGCAGATGAATCCCCGCCGTTGTCTCCATTCAGCAAGACTGTTGACAAAATAAGGGTGGTTGTCGAGAAGGAGCTAGGCCATCCGTTAAACCATGCCCTGATACAGCTGTATCGGGATGGCGAAGATCGCATCTCTGAGCACTCCGACAAGACGCTTGATATTGTCAGGGGATCTAACATCTGTAATGTCAGCTTGGGAGCGCTGAGGACAATGACACTGCGCACCAAGGCCGATGCAAAGAAATCTACCCATTCTTCACCCGAAAATTCCAGGCAAACGCAACGTGTTCCCATGCCCCATAACTCACTTTTCATTCTTGGGGA